GCGCATAAAGACATTAAGCACTGCTTCCAAAGGAAGTCCCGTTAAATAAATAACCTTCCCCTTAAACTTTGAACAATATGAGGAAACAGTTTGAATTAATTCCCTTCAAATGCCAGCAGCGCACACTGAAATTCCAACAGGCAGGAGGATGAATGGCCATCGACACTGTGTGACAATCGCATTTATTTTGATGTGACTTTGTAAGAGACCGAACAAAAGCTCTTCGCTTTTTAGCCCCCAGAGTGCAAAGAATAGAGGATGCATCTAGTTTAAAGTGCATTAAAGACTCGGCTGATTAACAGTTCAGCAGAGGTCAAGCCTGCTAAATGAGCCTTAAACATTAAAAAGTCTTAAAGGCTTTCACTTCTAAATGCTTGTTTTAGTCAAAGTGTCAAAAGCTGAAGTGCAAAAGTCTGCCTGCTTCAGTGTGTGTGTGTAGCCTTGACTAGCGCTGGCAGTGCACTAATCACACGCGCTTCCCGGGTTCACTCGGTTCATTCATATTTGCATATCCTTAAAAAGACACGCACTACATTTCCTTTTCAGCGCAAACGACAACCTATGCAAGATTCACATGTTTACAGTGATAGCCCAAAATAAAAAAGCACATGATCTCTGTTTTCAAAACAACTTTTGGAATAACTCTTAAAGCGCTGGTAAGAGTTCAAACACGCTACGTCTCTGCAGACTGACTGTACACAGAACACACTTGTCAGATCACAGCATACTTAAAAACCCAAACTTTCAAATGAGAACAAAGCCAGTATGCACAACAACGTCCTGCACAGGCAATAAAACAGGAAACACACTCAACTCTCTGCAGTGATAACATAGAGGCTAGACTATTTTAAGCAACAGATTTGTTTTGTACTTGCAATGTTTTAAGCCCGCTGCCACAACCAGCTATTAAAAGAGATGTGTTTTCCTTTAAGCTAGCCAGGGGCAGATGGTCCATAACAAGTCTCCTGGAAATACCTGAAGTCAGCATAATTCCTCCTCCAGCAAGTCTACTCAGACATGCACACTGTCCCCTGCGCTATCAACAACAAACAAGTCAGCCGACCTACCCATACACACCTGCACTCGGCACTTTAAATCCAACGTGTGAGTCACTTTTTTTTCCTGCCCCACTCTTGGCTCGGTGGACACCGCTTCCCAAAAAAAAAAAAAAGAAAGAAAAAAAAACAGAAAGCATGAACATTTCTTTGTCTGGGAATTCAGGGTCAGGTGGTTCCCAACAGGAATTCTGGTTGGCTAGAGAGGACTTGCAGAATGTTGGCGGCCGTCCAGGAGGCTGTCTTGCAAGCAGCGCTGGAAATTCGCTGTAAACCTCATCTTCACCCTTATATCCATAGTACGGAGTTCATTTCCACTGCGGAGAGAGTGTAGTGAGGGGAGGAGTGAAGGGAGTGGGATGGGGGTGGGAAGGAGGGCTCTACTGTAGTGTTAAAAAAAGAGAGAGAGAAAAGGAGATGACCCCCCCCCAACTCACTCACAGAAAGTGAAAGCTGGGTTATATCTCCCCCCTCGCTCTCTTCTAAGCTGCATGCGACTCAGGCCTTGTAGCCAGAGGAAGGAAACATGTCAAGGCCCCCCTGGGTTTCCTGCTGCATTGTTGTGTCCGGTGTGCATTTGGCTGCACGGTTACAGAGAGCAAGCAGAGAAATAACATGTTACGATCTGCGCTCCTCCACAATGTGTCTATTCAGAGGGAGAAAAAAACACACACAAATTCCCAGGCTCCTGACAGAGGATTCCTCCTCTCTGCGTGAAGAATGCCAAACGCCCATTTCTCTGGAATTTTACAACATTCACTCACGAGACAACTGTGTGTCCGGCTAATTTGGCCGTATTTCTGGGATCGCTGACACTTTTATGGCTGATCCTCAAACACCGCGTGGTGAGAGGCAGAAAAAAGAAGATCGGGGTGGGGGGGAGCTCGATTTCCATTGGCCGGCTCTCTTTGGTTACTGAGGAAAAGGGAGGTTATGTAACAGAGCCGTTCTCACCGTATGACACAGAATTGTTAGGAAAACATGAACTACTTTTGCCTGCAATCATGCTTCAGATTTGCTATAGCTGTGGGGCTAAAGGACTGACCTTAATCAATGCTGTACAATCTTTTTTGGTACCTCTAGAACCTAGAAAAAATTCAATTCAGGTTTATTTCTATAGCACTATGTAGATTGTGTCAAAGCAGCTTAACATAAAAGCTCTAGTAAGTCCTTCCAGGATTTCGATAGCTTTATTAATACTGACAGAAGCCTGAAATGATTGTTTTTGTGATTAAAGTATGACTTTATTGGCTTAAATTATTGAGTTCTGCTGTGAAAATACACACAAAAAAAACTTTTAAAGGTTTTTTTTAATATGAAGAACTCGGGGGGGATTGATTAACTGCAAAATTATACATGCATACAATGATGTTCTCACACTGGTCATACTGCTTTACATCATGGTCACAAGTTTCTTTAACCACACTGAAGCCTATTGATTCGATGTATAAACAAGCAATTCAAATTATGAACTTAAAGCCTATGCGATGACATTTCTAGCTATGTTTCTTTTCACCTATTTTAATGTGCATTTTGGATATCCGCATTAAAAAAAACGTTGATGGAAATGCCAAGATGCGCATTAATTTTGAAAATGCGCATTAAAAACTAAGAACTGAGTAGGATAAACTTTCCATGCGCATAAACTACAATGGAAACAATTTTACCACACAAATTCCAGTATGTGCATTACAAATAGCTCATGTGATTTTGTTAGAAGATTTCATGTGATGATAAAAATGTGAGCGATTTTACAACCGATGGACATTTCGGACCTCCTTTCAGTAGGGAAGATGTTTGGTGTTACACTCAACTCGGAAGGGCTCACTATGCTCTACTCCTTTCACAGAGACCCTCACTCAGAAGGGATTAGTTCATAGAGATGAGCCCTCCGAATGGAATCCAGTGAAATTGTTAGTTTATATTGCAACGCTTAGGTGAAAGCAAGTCCATGTGAAAGCACCCTTTAGCCTCCTTCTGAGAATTACTATTGATCATAAAACCATGCTTTCCTGACAAGATGAGCATGACAATCACAGCTTTGCTTAATTGCATTTGCAATTTCATTTCAAGTATTCACCTAGAACTACAGTATCGACAAGTCAACTGATTTTTAAAAGTGCTAGAGTGCAAAACTAAGGCATGTGCTTTTAATAAATGTATGTTATAGTATGATATCGTCATTGTAATAATTGTTTGTGATGTGAACCAACCTTAAGGCTCAGGCACAACTTTCAAAACAATAAACTATTGAACTATATGTCTGATTGACCAGTAGCGGACAATAGAAGTGCCCAGAAAACCTGTCTCTAGTGGAGCAGTGATCATACAATTAAACTTTAAGACACTGCAACAATTTGAACACTGCAGCTCAATGTAAACATGCACAGATTCACCATAAGACAGACTATAGATGTTACTTTAAAAAAAGAATTTTTACTAAAATGTGACAACTTTTATCTTGGATTATTCTGGACATTTCCAACAATCTGTGTAGCAGCTCATTAAAGGGTTGGTAGCTGACCTTGAAATAATAATTCTCACATCATGTATTTATGTTATACACCCAAAGACTAATATTTATCTTTGGAAAGTATTTATTCATTCATCCATCCATTCATTCATTCATTTTCTTGTCAGCTTAGTCCCTTTATTAATTCGGGGTTGCCACAGCGGAATGAACCGCCAACTTATGCAGCAAGGTTTTACGCAGCGTATGCCCTTCCAGCCGCAACCCATCTCTGGGAAACATCCACACACACATTCACACACACACTCATACACTACGGACAATTTAGCCTACCCAATTCACCTGTACCTCATGTCTTTGGATTGTGAGTGAAACCGGAGCACCCGGAGGACTCCCACGCGAAGGCAGGGAGAACATGCAAACTCCAAACAGAAACGCCAACTGACCCAGCGACCTTCTTGCTGTGAGGCGACAGCACTACCTACTGCGCCACTGCCTCGTCCGGAAAGTATGTATTAAATAATAATTATTATCATTATTATTTTTATTATTATCATGTATAATAAAAAAAAAAACGGGCTCCTATTCGCATGTGAACATTGATCTGCAAACATAAACATGTTTTATGCATAAGAACAAACCTCATTGGTTCTTGCAAAAGGTATGAAAATGCTGAATGAATCTTACTGGTTCTCAAGCATCAAGCAAGCATGCAAATTTAAATTTATTATTATCATATAAAGCACTTACTTTTCCTCCAGAAAACTCTGATTAATGTATAAATTGATATGAATTTTCTTAGCTCTTAGAAGTTATTTAAAACACCAGAGTTTTGGGTGAAAAGACTTTTAGTGGAAGAACAAAAATCCATTAGATTTACATTCATTTGTGTTGAGATGAAAACAAGTCCTATGGCTTAGAAAAAACAAAAGGGCGAATGAATGAAGGCAGAATTTTATAAATTAGCATTCATTCATTCATCCATTCAATACCAATGAGAATGGTCACATGCACATTTAACTCGATCATAAAAGTTGCCATTTATGACGAGCTTATCAACCAATTCACACGCCTCTGATTGGCCACCGTATTCCAAACAGATATGCCTTTAATTAGTTTAAATGATGGATTTCCAGTGTTAAAAGAAGCCAGTACTGGATGTCACACAATTTAGTTTTCTTAAATGAAAAAATGTCTCAAATCGGATACATTTTTATTAAGAGGTTGCATGACAAACATTGGTATAAAATAGCCAATGGATTTTCAGTGTGAAAAAAAGCCAACGAGATGTCTCATGAAATAAATGGTACCTTCATGCGTGATCAAAAATGAATCTTCAAATACACTTGGATTTATGCTGTCGCTGGTTTATTCGCATGCTAACGCATTCTCAACTGTTGCTGCTATTATTAAAAACTGACAGTTTCCCTATCGCTCCTAGTTTCCTTGGGACAGTGGTGAGCAATGGTACTCACCTCCAACTTCCACTTGGCCAGCAACTCCTCCCTGGTCCTCCTGCTAATGTAATAAGGGTCACCAGCTTGGAAGGTTACTCTGGGCATGGGTCTTTGACGAAGGCTGACTTCCCAGCCCACTCCCCCACGGAGCCTCCCTCGAGCTCCCTGTTTAAAGTACAAAAGCAAAAAAACAAAAAACAAAAGCAAAAATAAAGGTAAAGGAAAAAATTACGACTCACTGTTTCTTTAGAGTGCTTATCTATCTGTGCGCTCTCAAATGAAAGAGGGAAGTAGGCGGTTTGTGGTTTTGTGAATTGGCTGGTTGGAGGACTCTCAAACTAGTGTACTCAACGAGCGGTCCGAGACATTTATAAACTTCGGTTTGAAGAATAGAAACCCTCACTTGAAGCGGAGGACCAAGTGTATTTGATATTGCACCATTAGGGTACCATTTCTTTCATAATCAGGTGGCTGGAGAAACAGGTTCCACGGTTATCTTCCGAGTACGTTTCTTTGAAGGTCTTCGGCAGTTGGTGGAAGAAGTGAACATTCACAGACAGAAGCACACGAACATTGACAAGCACGCAACAGGAAGATGGTTTTACCTCATTCTTTGAAGGGTCCCCGCTCTCGTCCTCCTTGTGCTCCACGTCTAGAATGAAACAGCCAACAAGAACAAGCAATTACCTGAAATGTTTCTGACAGTCCAGGTTTAATCGGTCTTGGTCAGTCTGCTGTATGAGACCTCAATGACATTTTTAGAAAGCATAACATAGCTTTGAGGCTAAATAAAAACCCATTCTTATTTGTGTGCTAAGTTATTTACCTCAAACAAGGGTTTATATAAAGAGCCATGAAGCAGGAAGCAGGAAAAGGGAACATTTTAGCTGGAGGGTTTGTAATACTAAACAAAAGTCCTTAGAGAACTTTGAATAATTTTCAGTTTAGAAAGTTTAGAAATCACTAGGGGTTTGGTCAATCAGTGGGGAGGACTCATTTGGTGACAATGTACTGTAAGTACTGTAATGACATGGAATAGCAGACAGCATGGTTTCTTTGTTTGTTGTATCAATATTACACTCAAATATGGGTGACACTTTATTTTTGATGGTTTATTTGAGTATTACTAGACTGTCTGCTTAATGTCTGCATATACTGGTGCTAAACAGACACTGAATTTGCTGTAAGAAACTTTGCAAGTATGTCAACTTACACTAACCCTAACCCCAACCTAACAGTCTACTAATAATCTGATGAGAACTAGTTGGCATGTAGATGCAATGTAACTTAAATTCAACAAACAGACCATCAAAATAAAGTGTGACCCAAATATGTAATGCATATGTTACAGTACAGCATGTTGCAATCTGTCCAACTATATTATTTGCACTACGATTGGCTGGATTAAAGGGACAGTTCACCCAAAAATTTAAACTCTAAAACACAAAGATATATTGAAGAATGTTAAGGAAAAAACAGCCATCAAATTTCAATGTATTTTTTATTCCTTCTATAATAGCTGCTTTTTCCACCATTCTTCCAAAAAACTTGGTTTGTGTTTAGCAGGGGGAAAAAAATGATGTTAAACATTTTCAAACCACTTAAGTGTAGTATTGGACAATTATACTAATTTTATGAGGAGCACGTGATATGATTGATCATAGTTGGTCCACCATCCGTGATCATTAGCAAGCCATTCAGATCATACCAAATGCAACAAAAACATCCCGTCTAACTTTACTCCCTGATGTTTATTTTTTTGAAGAACCACCATCTCCCTCCTCCTCTTTCTAGATTAAACCAGGATTGGGTGACACTGTTGCCTCACTGCAACAAGGTCGCTGGTTTGAAGCCCGGTTGGGCCAGTTGGCATTTCTGTGTGAAGTTTACATGTTCTGCCCATGCTCACGTGGGTTTCCCCCAGGTATTCCGATTTCCTCCTACAGTTGAAAGACATGCCACATAAGTGAATAAAATAAGCAAATAGGAACAGTATAGTGCTTAGTACTGAGTTTCACCGAGTAGGTATGCACAGGTGTGGTTGGCAGTCTATTCCTCTGGGGCTGCCCTTGATAGTCAAGGACAAGGCGCAACGAATTCGGGGAGCTCTTACCCTTTTAGGCTCAATTATCTCTGAGCTCAGGGTTCTCTCTCGGGACAGCATGCCAAACCTGCTAACATTATCCAGCAATATCTAAGAGTAAGCTCTTAAAAAAACTTTACTTCTGATTTCTGAAGAAGATGTAATGCACTTACAAAAAATGCATTCACTCATTCATTTTCTTGTCGGCTTAGTCCCTTCACTAATCCGGGGTCGCCACAGCGGAATGAACTGCCAACTTATCCAGCAAGTTTTTACGCAGCGGATGCCCTTCCAGCCGCAACCCATCTCTGGGAAACATTCACACACTCATACACTACCCAATTCACCTGTACAGCACGTCTTTGGACTGTGGGGGAAACCGGAGCACGCAGATGAAACCCACGCGAACGCAGGGAGAAAATGCAAACTCCACACAGAAACGCCAACTGAGCCGAGGATCAAACCAGCGACCTTCTTGCTAATTTCTTTGCTAATTTCATGGTAATCATAGTGTGAAGATTGAAGAATGCAACAATTGGTATGTTAAAGGGATCATCAAGAAATTAAAATCCCCTTGATTGTTTGACGTATAAGCATTCGTTATACTATAAAAACATCCTGTAAGTTTTAGAACCCAAATCTTCATATTGAAGAAAAGCTGCCAAGATGATGAGCCTTTTAATTATGTAATAGTGTCAAAACCCAGCCTCTACAAAAAAAACAATGCCCACTTCTTCATTACTGCCTGTAAGTCACTGATTTGTCCAAACTCTGATTAACAGAAAAAGAAAACCCAATAAAAACTCACTGAAGAAAATATGAAACTGTGCTGCACCAATATTTGGAAACAGTCTTAATCACAGCATTAGAAAACAGTGGATGAACTTTACTTTTAATGAAACTTAGTAAGAACGTAGTCCTTTTTTACTTCATTTGTAGTGAATTCTTTTACAAAGAAGGAATAATTTAGCACTATATTTTTAGAAAGATTAAGATTAAAAGGTTATCATAAAGGTAATCAAAAAGTCTTTATTATATGCAATTTGAACTAAACTATCGGCAAAAGACGTGTTTTGTTTATGTTTGGAAGCTTCGTTTTGGACTTAGATGAAGCAGTGTATGTATTTCATAAAGTAGGCTGGTATAATGTGCAACATTTTGTGGATTATTTGTTTCTATTCATTCATTTTCTTTCGGCTTAGTAGCTTTGTAATCTGGGGTCGCAACAGCGGAATCAACCGCCAACTTATCCAGCATGTTTTTTACGCAGCAGATGCCCTTCCAGCTGCAACCCATTACAGCAAAACATCCATACACACTCATTCACACACACACACACAAACTACAGACAATTTAACCTACCCAATTCACCTATACCGCATGTCTTTGGACCTGTGGGGGAAACCATAGCACCCAGAGAAAATCCAGGTGAACATGGGGGAAACATGCAAACTCCACACAGAATAGCCAACTGACTCAGCCGAGGCTCAAACCAGCAACCTTCTTGCTGTGAGGCGAACGTGCTACTCACTGGGCCACTGCTTCGCCCCTTATTTGTTTCTAAATGAAAGAAATTGGGTTTCAGCTAATTATTATGACTTGTTTTCAACTGATATATTTTTTTCCACCAAAATCCGGCCACTCTAGAGCCAAGGAGTACCTCAATCCCTCAGTTTTCTTAAACTGTGTATACAGAATAGAGATAATGATACACATTTAAATTAATCGTTAACAACTAGAGCTGTTTTTACACTATTGTGCTCAATCGTTCAAGAACAGTCAGGTGTGGTTCCAGTTGTGTTTCTTCATGAGCCAGTAAAGGTGCGGAAGCATTAATAACAGTTCTCGATGTGGAAATCTAGACATTGTTATGCTGCATCAACACCAGATGCAGATGAAGTGTCAAGCATGAGTCATTTACATGTTAAGTCAATGCAAAGAAGCGAATAGACATCCTGCGGCACGATTTGAACAAATGAAGCGATCAGCGCAGATGAAGCAGCACGAGTTGAGCGTTTTGTGCGCTTGACATGCTTAACATGCGAATCGCACGAGTTACAAAATCTGAACTTCAGTGAACATTTGCGCAGCATTAACCAATCAGGAGCTTGCACTTATAGAGGTGTGATTATGACGTAGTGCCTGTTGTTGGTGTCCCGAGGGAAAATCCTCTTGCTGACACGGGACAGCATTTTATCAAACTGGTCCGGCTCAGTCGGAAGCACCGCTGAAAGCTTCCATCATCCAGCTAAAGTCTCTAGAGGAGTTGATGAACTCGCAGAGCTGGATGCCGTGGACCCAGACACGGCGCTGAATGAATGTATGCTGTTTTTCAGTCTTCAGCACATACACACAGCTATTCTCTCAATAAAAAGTTAGCCATTTCAAGAGTTCACACTTAGCTGATGATTGATGGTAAAGCTAGTTTGGCGTGCAGTCCCGGGAGAGAGCCCTGAGCTTATAAGATCCTCGAGCCCTGGGCTCCCTCCCGTTGCAAGGCGAGAGGGGAGTTTGAGCTCAGGTAGATCTCGATGACTCCCCTTCTTGCTTGTTGTAGCTAAGTGTCAGATATGTATACTGTAAGGTGTACTCAGAGGTTAGCTAATGTATTTTGATTAATTATTTAGAGTGATGTTTTTGAACTGTGGGAGGAAACCCACGCGACCACGGGGAGAACAAGCAAACTCCGCACAGAAATGCCATCTGGTTTGGAAAGAAATTAAACCAGGGGCATTCTTGCTGTGAGGCAACAGCGCTAATCGCTGGCCACCGTGACGCCAATTTGAAAGGAGGGAAAGAAGGGTTGGGTGGGAGGGGTTCTTCGAGACGAAGATATTGAGATGAGAAAAGTCTGGTTATTTATAGTGAGTTAAGGATCGTCTGATAGGATAATCAGTCATTAGCTAAAGTTGGAACAGCTGCGAACAATCATAAGCACGTGATCCTCTCGAAATTTGTTTATGAATAAACTTCACTTAGCAATACAGTAGGTCACCGGGCAAACAGAAGCCCTGCCCATGACACAAATCCACATCTATTGTGAAGTGAATTTGACGTGTAAATGAAGTGAGTAAACTCAAAATGTTCACGTGTTTATTTACGCGCAAATAGTGTGCTGTGCCTGGTTTGAACACAGCATTAGACAGTGTGCAGGACTAGTAGAGCATGTGTGTTCATGACGTCGCCAATCTGTTGCCTTGCTGCCAGTTTCTCTTTAGCAGGCTAAGCGAAAACACACAATTTATTTATTAATTGTTATTCAGCTAAATAATTATCAGAAAAAAAGAGTTTTAAAAGCTAAAACTACTTTAGTTTAAAGATCAGATAAAGTAGTTTAAACTACTAAAAGATCATTGTCAGTGTCAGCGTTTAAATTGAACATATGCTACCAAGGCACCAACTGGCGCATTTGTATTGCATTTCAAAGATTTTAATTATCAGCACCACAGTGTAAAATGAAACCTTTTTTTTTTAGCTGTTTGGCCAGGATTAATCCAGAATAGAATGGTTAAACAAATAGAACTGTTTAGCCTGAAAAGCAGTTCAGTTGTTCAGTTTGGTTCAGTTCA